GCTCCGGCCTCCGCCCAGGCTCTTCGCGGGGGTTGAAGCTGCGGGGCAGCGTCTTGTAGCCCTTCGTGCGGCAGAAACGGGCCTGCTTTGGTGCGTGTGAACGCTCCGCCGCGCTTACTCCTCGGGTCGCGTGTCCGTCGGCAGGGACGGGCCTGGGGACGCTCTGCTGCCTGCCCCTGCCCGCAGCGGGCAGGTGAGACTTGACGTGCGGCTCCCCCGGTGCCCCTGCTGCGGGGCAGCCCCTTGCGTGGCCGATTTCCCCTCCCGCAGTCTGTGACCCTACAGTAACCTGGCACTAATTGCTCATTAAACCATCTGCAGGGCTTCCTAATAACGCGGAGAAATTAAGACGCGGGTGGAAGAACAGGTCGGATTTAAAAAGCTGCGATATCTTGGTTGTGTAGCTGAGCTACCAAGTGCGGCTAGATTAATACAGGTCCTCATGAGATCTGTGCCCTGCGGTAAATACAAATCCGCAGATAGTCAAAAAGAAACCAGCTGTGGACAGTTTGGGACATGCCTTTGGGGAGAGATCGGGGCCAACTGCACGTATTGTGCATTTAGCAAAAGTTGGAAGCAGATTTACCTTGCAGGTGGAAGAGCTGTGTGGCACTACATATTAAATTGTGTGATTTACACCGTGATTTTAGCAATCTAAGGAGACATTCTCATGTTTCTGTGGAATTTTGCTTTTTTATTTCTAGTTTTGAAAGCCATATAGTAAGAAATTAAGATTTCCAGAGCTGACTGAGTACTCTCTCTAATGCTAATCTGTATTACCATGGTATGTATCCTGGGCTAGAATATCATGTAAGATCATTCTCTTCAAAATCCTTCTCCACATCTTAGTCTACTCAGTTTACGTTGCATGTTACACGTGATTTTAGCTCCTTATATTTCCAACTTCATAAAAATACAAGCTCTTTTATGTCTAAATGATAATATAATGGCACATTCCTAGTGCACTAGCACAACCTTACTCTCAAGAGTGTCTAAAAAAAAAAAAAAAGGAAACGTGTAAAACACATGTGCTGGGATGCTTCTGTTACAATCTTAATCTTCTCCATGTTTTATCATGCATTTGCTGTGCTGTATCCAGTAAGGTTTCCGTAGGTAGTGTTAGTTTGCCATGTGAAGCAGTTATGTTTGCCTCCAGTGCTGATGACTGTTGAAATGTGAGCATGCCTCAAATAGTACACATCTTTACAGGCAAAAATAGCTTATGACCATGTATAAAAATCATTGTAGTGCAGTCCACACAGCACAAAGCTGTTCTGCTTTTGTAAGTAGAGGAGCAGAAGCTGAGGTGGGTCGTGCTGAGCAGCAAGGACAGGTAGACTAAGAGCTATTTGATACATTCAAGATAGCTGGAACCCAGACACTATCTTAATTTAAACTTCAGTGGTTGTGATTGTTCTTTGGTAACAACTTGGGCTTTCATAAATATTGGGAAAAAGAGTAGGGAAAAGTTTGTCTGGGGACAAACACATACCACATACAGTCACATGGTGGGGAGGAAACCGCAAGCCAAAACAACAAAACAGTTGTGAAGTAAAAGAAGCTATCAGAAAAATGTTTCTTCAAAACGCAGTAACCCAGTATGTTTCCATTCAAAAGATTATGTGGTCCTCTGGCTCTTTAGGAGAGAGTTACTAATATTACTAATGCAGATTAAGCAGTTTGGCTTTTTGCTGTTTTCATTTCATTTATGCACCTTCAGTCTCTTCACATCCAGTAGATGTTTGTTCATTTGATGTTTACATTTCACACTAGATCTCTGCATTGGCTTCTCCCCTTCTGCATACCTTCAAAACTGCTCCATTATGAACATGGCTTACTTGCTGAGCTCTGCCCCAGCCTCTCTTCCTCTACAGCAGGCACAGTCCAAATGACACTATCTGTGTCTTTTCCTTTCCTTGCTTATGCCTTAGACACCCTTTTGGTTGTGCTTAACCAGAATTCAGGGAGTGCCCTCTTTCTCCTATATACTCTGTGTGTGTGTGTGTATATATATATAAAAATATATTAAAAAAATACTGTTACATTTCCTGTAAACTGTTCTAGGGTAGGTACAATACATATATCTCCTTCTACTGTTGTTTACACACATAAACGCTTTACATAGATAACTGTCAGTGGAATTTACCTAATTTTAATATTATCTGTCCCTTGAGCTGATTTGTAAGTGAGGCAACAGATACAGGTCCTTTTGTGCATTGGTTACTGCTAGCCCAGAAGAGAGTTGTTATTCAGCATGCTCTTAAAAAAACAAAGCAACATGTGACTGTCCGTGTTAAATATACTGCAAGTAGCAAACACATGATCTAGTTGTTGCTACATATCCTCTATTGCTTAACAGTAAGTAACACCTAAAAATGCTGAACAAGACGCAGTTATTGGAGTCGTAAGCCTAAAATATTTTCAGTAAAGGAATAAATAAACTTTGGCAGAGAAAGTCCTTGAGGTTATTTTATTTGGCTACCACCTATGTTGAACAATAAAAATTAAACATACCCAGAAATAAAAGCTTTTCCGCTGCAGAAAGAGACACAATGTACTGACCAGCTTCTTTTCAGCTCTGTGAGACTTTCCAGCTCGCTAACAAAAGCGCCCCCGCACTTCGGCATTTCATCATGTTTATTAGCCGAGATGTCAATGCTACTGCTTCTGCACGTCACACTGTAATGTCACGCTGGGGAGGATCAACAGCCTCATATTTTACATGCCTTTTACGCAAAACCACTTGGTTTACTCTGGTTCTGTTTTCAATTATGCCAAGCAGGTTCCTGGGTAGAACTCCACTTCAGCAGTAATGGAAATGGCAGTGGAAACACTGCTGCTCTGACAAGCCAAGAACAAGTACCAGCCTCCATTTCCATTCACAATGGTGACATGGAGAAAATACTCCTTGATGCTCAACATGAATCTGGAAGAAGCAGTTCAAGAGAAAGTTCACATTGCGACAGGTAAACAAAATACATTGTTAGAAGCAAAGTAAAGGTCACTATTACACAAAGTTATGTGCAAGAGGCAAGGACAAATACAGCAATACGTACATACCTGTGTGCATACACATATGCATGTCATAGATGAATGCAGAGAGGAAGAGATAGGAAAATTTCATATTTAAAAGATTGGTGTTTAAATACTATGGTAATGCTTGGGTAGAAGCCTGTCCTGAAACCAGAAAGAATTTACAAGGGAGAGGACTCTAGAAGGCTTCTCACATCTCTTAGAGATGCCATCTTGGGGTTTTAGTGTATCCTGAAAAGAAGTCCAGAAGCAGCAACTGAACTTCTCATGGGTGTGCTGCTTGTATGCAGGCAGCAGCCTTGTTCTAGTAAATAAAATACTCTGGGGCCATGTGTGGCTGTCATTCTAAAGGATCAGTCCTTGTGCAAGCAGTGTCTGTGCTGCTCTTAAGAGCGTATAGTGCTACTAACACTGCTGCCTGGAACAGGAACGTCAGAGAAGGGTGATAAAAAGCAAATTGTGTTTTGTATATCAGTTAATAGTTCTCAGGTAATGGCTAAATAATTGTCCTATATCTTGTTTACAAAACAGCAGATTTCTAGGGAGTATAACACAACAAAACAACTTACATCTCATGCAAATTGTGAGTCAGTGTTATTAATTCATATTTGATTTTGATGGGTTGTGAACTCTGCAGCCTAAAGTTAATTAAAAAAAAAACAAAAACAACTACAGGACTCAAAATAGACAGTAGGATACAGAAATTCCTAGTGTTATCAGGCTTGTTTGAATTCAAATCCAACCCCACTTTTATTCATCGTTTGCTGCCCATAGTTATTTAGTAAGTAACATGGGCCAAATCATACAACCTCACAGGCATATCTCTGTACTGCTGAAAAACAGCTCTGTGCAGCAGGCTTCTTGGCAGATTGTTAGACAATCAAAGATTAATTGAATATGATGGCTGGATTCTATCACCCATTGACAGATTAATCTCTTAAGTTATGGCTGGGGCCCTGTAGCTCTTCGGGAGAACTGTGCATACAGGCTTCATTGACTAGCTTTTAGTCCATCTCATAAACAATGTCATAAAAAAATTAATGAATTCTTTCTTTCCTGCGCTTCTCTCTTTATCAAGCCCTCCTCGTTCCCAGACACCTCAGGACAGTCACAGAGCGTTGGAAATAGAGAGTCACAGCAGTGGAGAAAAGAATAGCTTTCAGGTAAAAATCTCATCTTGCTTTTGGAGAAAGAATTTCTTAACGCTTACTGTTTGAAAACCAGCATTAGGAAATAAGAGGTGAAGCTGCTAATGTAGACACTTAAATAACTTAGTAGCTTAGAAATACACAAAGCCTGATAATCTATCTATCCGACTTGCATGTTTTTTTTGTGGTTTTGTTTGTTGTTTTTTTTTTTTTAAATCTGTAACCTGAGGTTTTTCAGAGGGATTTGGGTGTCCTAATCTATTGTCTTTTAAAATGGCTGGGTTCTCAAACACCTCTTTCCAGCCACAAGTTGAAAAGACCAACCTTCAGATCCTGCAAGTACCTTTTAGGAAAAAAGGTAATCCAGAAAGTAACTGCTAGCCTGGAATTCAAGAGAGCTGGAGTCAGCACCTTGCTAAGCCTCCAACTTCTGGTCATCCTGATGCGTGTTCTCTGTCATGGTTTCTTTTGTCCTGTGAAGTGGGCATTATTGTTCCCTACTCAATAGGTCAATTGTGGTGTAAGTCTTAACAGATTGGGAGACAATCAGATTTTATATTAAGATGTATAGGAAATGCATCAATAGTGTGGGTATATACATGGTGATAACCTAAGTACACGTATAGAGGTGAACATTGATGTTCTGTGGACAGCTTACCATGCAGAAATTTCCTCTTCCCACTTTGACTGTCAACTTGGTACATTTCATGCGTCCCCCACAATGAATTTTTATTTAAATGCACTACCCTGGTGCAGTTTGAATTTTAAAAAGGAGATTTGACAGCAGCAAGAATTTCTAGAGTCACTTAAACATGACAGCCAATGACATACATTTTCAAAGCACTGCCATAGCTTTATGATTCCATTTTGTTTTAACAACTACTATTTGGCATTTCTACATGCTGCTTTGTAAAGCTCACTGTTATTTCTAATTTCATTTTATACGTTTGTTTACATACTTGCAAAGAAAATTAGTAAATACATTTAAAAAAAGAGTGGAGAAAAAGGATACTGTATACTAACTTTTTATCGATATATAGCTTATTGCATGATGACAGGCTAAAATCTTAAGTCTTCACTGTAATTAGATACTAGCTTTAATATGAAAAAAAAGTTTATAAAACATTCTGAGGAGTGAAGTATTAGAAGTATTCAAGTAAATTTCTCTGTTCTTCCAAAGACTTGCTGTATTATCTTTGGTAAATCACTCTCCTTGCACTGTTTACTTAGAAAGAGATACTATTTTCTCATTAATTTGAAGTATATTCCATGCCTGTGACCAATTCTTACAGGGTTAGCAGTTAGCAATTAGAAATCAAGATTGTATTTCACTTGGAGCCTCTGCATGAAAAGAAATAGCAATGTATGATAAGCTGGCAAAAGTTACCAGCCCTAACAGTCACTCACGCTCCAATGCAATGTCACTTCTTTAATTCTAGTAAGAACTCGCGACTCTTGCATTTTACTTTTAAAAAAATATTATTTCTTCCATCACTCCCCTTTTTCAATTACTATTGTTTATCATCTGTAGCTGAGTGTGTGCTGGGTATTGTCATCTCGGGGTCTCTGTGCTTTACTTGGCTGTCTGTATTTGTTTGTGGATTATCTTTTTCTACCCAGTGTTATGAACTTTTTAAAACAAAGTCTGTGTGTTCACTGTTTGTACAGTATTTAACCTTGTGGGGTTTCAACTTCATACAGTTTCTAAACTATACAGCTGTATCAATAATACCTAGACTTAATCAGTTCTGAAAATTACATGAAATGTGCTTGGTCCTGTTGTGTCTTCCTTCATCTGAAACTGTCCCCATCCTACAGGAATCTAGCTGAATGAATTACCACCTTTAGGTTAACTAAATACATTGCTGGAAAATAATTATTTTTATTTTTTATATTTCCAGAAAACCTCTCATATGTTTAAAGATCATTATTTAGACTTCGAGAACAAATAATCAAAACTTGGAAAACCATCTGAATTAAAATTGCCTGGACAATTTTATTTCCATTCTTAAGTGTGTATATATAGCTATTTTAATTCTATGATTGGATACTATTTTTATCACAAGAACTTGGCTCCATTTAATGCACATGTATTAAGTAAGAAACTATATTCTTATTCAGCATTTATGCTGTAATTCGCTTGAAAACAAAGCCACTGCTTGTTTGTTGGGTTTTTTTCTGCACAGATGTGTGCAGATGGACCTGGGCTCACTTTACCTGTGTTCCCAATGCTGGCCCGAAAGGCAGGCAGCTTTATGAGACTAGAATTAGTTTCACTTGGCTTGTATTGGCTTGATCGAAGATCTTCAGATGAATATGACATCACCCAGTTTTACATGCAGACAAAAAGTTTCTTCTGCCAAATGTCAGTCAGATGTGTGAGCTGGGGATATTTTCAGGTCCTGTATGTAAGGATTAAATGCAGGGCTCTGGTGTTTTATTTCCAGGGTGGTCTTTACTTAAGCAAATGCAGGATATAGGTATGGGCTATGGCCTGTTCCGTTCACATCCTGCTCTGAAGACAGATCTCCCTCCTCCCCCCATCTTTATCTAGGATCTAACAGTAGAAGTGATATGGAGAGTTTGCAGTGGGAAGAGATGGGAGAAGTGAGCTTCAGAGATAGTCTAGCATATGGTTTTAGGTGCAGAACGGGAGCTTTGTGCTGCAGTACTAACATCCTACCTATCATTGTCCTGAGTACTGTGTGATAATGGCTGTCTGTTTTAGTCTGAAGAAGATTTTCTGGAAAGGAGAAAAGAAGTAGAAAGGCTCCTGAAGAAGAATGCAGACTGGATATGGGATTGGTCCAGCAGGCCGGAGAACATCCCACCAAAGTGAGTGCTGTCAGTGTTTCTGGATGAACTCAGATGCAGCTTTTACTTCCGCAAGTCTAAATATGTAGTTGTTAATGCCGTGACTGTGTTTTCTTCCTCAAAACTAGGGAATTCCTTTTTAAACATCCCAGGCGCACAGCTACTCTCAGCATGAGAAACACCAGTGTAATGAAGAAAGGGGGCATATTCTCAGCGGAATTTCTGAAGGTTTTTCTTCCATCTCTGCTTCTTTCTCATTTGCTTGCCATTGGACTAGGGTAAGTTTAAATTTAAAACAAAACAAACAAACGAAAAGGGAGATTTTTTTTAACCTGTTTTCTCTGTGGCCTAGTTCTGACTCGCAACGCCCTCTTTGTCTAAAAAGAAGAGTAATACACTTTTATCCATAGAAGGGGGACAGATAGTGATTTGGGAAGTGCTTGCTACTTGTCTGCTTGTGGTATTGCTGGATGTATTGAGTTTTCCTTTTCTGCTTTTCTCACTAGTTGAGAATTTTTCAAAATAACTAAGGGGCAGTGAAATTAGGAGTTACATATATATATGAACCATAGTTATACAATAGTTGGTTCCGTTGCAGATACAATGTTTAATCTCACAAGTAATTGCAAAGGAAAAATATACTATTTAATATTTTTTAATATTCCACTTACACCTGGAAGGGACGGGGGACACCAAACAAAAGAGGAATTGGTTTTCTTTAGATGATTTAGTGGTTAGATGATCTGTCTTTAAATTAAAATCGGCTACAGGACACAGACTAACGGGAAGAGATTAAATGCTTTTTGGTCAGGACCAGAGTTTGCCTGCACTGAGGCATGGCAGATTCCTCGATACCGGCAAAGGCGGCTGGGAATCCAGGCACGTCTGGCCGCTCTCCTGTCAGAGTGCGCTGCGCCACACGGGAGGGCTTAGGGGAGAAGTCAGACGGGCTCTGGGCTGACACCTGTCTTCCAAGGAGCCTTCCCTTCGCTCTGGTCCTGCTCTCTCTCTGCTCACTCCCTTGCCGAAATCCTGAACCTTATCAAGTCCATGAAAGTTGGGGGTGAGGAGATGCAAGAGATTGAGGGGAAGAGGAGGACTCTGTGCAGCTGCAGTAACTGGAAGGAGGGACAGCCCACATCTTCTGTGGTCCCTGTGGTATGCATCATTTTGGATGGATGAAGGCACAGGTTATCTTCCTGCACAAAATCAAGATCTCAGCCACATAATGCTGTAAAAGTAACATGAAACTCGTTTAACTCCTTCCAAAATTAAAATGAGTAACTGCACAAAATAGAATAAAAGCACAATGGAATCTTCCTTTCAAAATAAACACAAGTTTGGTGATGTAAGTACTTCCTTTCTTCCTGGTCACTTCCACTACTGCTGCAAATGTGCATCATTCCAGTTCTGTAATGAGTGAGTAACAAAGTCACATCTTCAGAAAGTGTTCAATGTATTATCAGTAAAATACTTACACTTTAATAATTTCTTTAAGCTACAAGAAATATGTGAATAGGAGACACAATGTAGGGCAGCGGTGAAAGCATACCAAGCTGGGAAATAATGACCAGAGAAGTAAGGAGTACATGATGATGACAGTAAAATGAAAGTTTTAGAAATTTCAGAGGTATTTAGCAAATGGAAAAACTTAAGATAACAAAAGGAAAATGGTAATAAAACATCTGACTTTTGAGACCTCCTGAAGCAATGCATTCTTGTTAACCTCATACTCTCATTGCTGAAACTGAACAGCTTACACTGAATTAATTACTCCGTCTTCTAACTGAGGGCGGGTTGCTAGACGGGGCACGCACAGAGGCACTAGCAACTGAAAATGGAGTTTCGTAGTAGTCACTTGCCTGCTTAGTTGTAGCTGGCACTGCTGCTCCTGCTGGAAATGACATACCTAGTAACCTGATGAGAAAAAAGCATTCCCTATGTGCTGTACATTCTTTTTTGAAAGGAAATGCAACACTCACTGACCATATGTTCTTCTTGATCCTCAGGATCTACATTGGAAGACGCCTTACAACCACAGCTTCAAGCAGTACTTTTTAAGGGCACCTGAAATCTAGTTTCAAAGCAAAGAGAGTACTCATCCGGGAGCACAGGAGGTGAACGGCCGAAACCTCTGAGCCAGCGACGACTACCTGACCGGCGTGTACTTGTTCTGTAAACATCGTGTTCCTGGCTTAGTGAGAATGGGAAAGGAGACCCTAAAGCAGATGCATCATATATAGTCTTCTGGATCAATTGATAGAGCATGTTTCAGGTGCATTAACATCTGCTGTATTGCTTTGTAGTGAAGTATCTTTGAAAATTAAAAGAACTTAATGTTTGAAAGCAATCCTAGCTTTAATATAGCAGTTGTGATTCGGCTAGGTATTCATCTAAACTGCTGTTTCTTTATACTTCATAGATGTGAATATTCATCACTGCTACTGTAATCATGACGGTCAGGGATTAGCCCAAAACAATGTGTGGCCTTATGTATCCTATATGGGAGTTCAGAGAAGCTTTTACCTCACTTGAGGCAGCTTCTTCCTTAGATTTGCTTAGTGCTCTTCCACTCTCCTGTGAGATGTGAAGTGTTGAGAGTGAGTCAGCTGGAAGAAATTAGCATATGAGTGAAACTTCCATCGGTTTTTACGTGTTCAGAGTGTGATGCACAACAGCCTGAATTAAAATTTGGACTTCAGTGCCTAATAAATAGCTTCTTTTGCAAAGGCATTTATTTAACTCCCCAATTATTAGAAGTTTCTTCTGTTGTATCTATCTACTTGCAGACTATTGCTTCTCAGTCTTTTTATCTGTAAAATAATAAATTTGCATCTTACTTGCCTTATCCTTGTATAGATCTAAAAAAGGCTTGCTTCCTTATTTGTTTTTACTAATGGAATGCCTTTTCATTCAGTGATTTTATCTTATTTAATGAGGGGAAAAAAAAGAATGTTTGCCAAAATATCATGTTTTATATATTTAAATAAAAAGGTTCTTAATGGATTCAGTTTTCTCATTCCTTTGTGAAAGTGGCTGACAAGGCTCTTTGTCTTTAAACAAGTTTCACACTGTTTACTTGCATAACTGACAAATAAGTAAGAAGTTTCTACAGAAAACAACTTCGTTGCTTATTCTTAAACTTGAATATGGCTGTCAGTAGAAGTCACCCAGTAAACAGAAAGTCACTGAACTTGCAAAAGCATATTCTACCTTGTACCGCCATCATCATTTAAAAATAAATTTGCCATCTACTCTGTTTTTGTCCTTATTTAGCAGTACTGGCTTTTTCTTCTGTGCTTGATGTGGGAAAACGGTGGTTGGTGGGCACCTTGTCATGGTGTGCGGGGTCCCTGTGCTGCCGTCACGTGACATCACTGCGGCTGTGGGATGAGATGTGCCGTACAGGCGAGTACTGGCCTGATCCTGCGGGCCCCGAGAGAGACACGTGTGCTTCATTTTCCACGGCAGCAAGCCTGCCGAGGCTGCTGGAAATTCTCACTCGTATGCAGGAGTATTACAGGAGGAGCAGGAGCTGTGGTTTGGGGGTTTTTTGTTTGTTTTTACTATATGTGCAATAAAGAATGGATTTATAGGATTTATTTTAATTTCTGAATAATGTTTCCCATATGTGACTTGGACACAGTTTTTAATCTGACTACAGGCAGAGCTGAACGTTGGTGTTCCACCAAAACAATATCTAAAGCAGTGGTATCAGAATGACTGTTAGATCAACTGCTTCCTCCCCCTTTGAAAAAGCAAGACTTTTTTTTTTTATTCCAGTGCATCAAAATTTAATTAAAAGATTCCTTATGAGTACTGCTAAAATCCTAACAATTTACCCAGTGCTCCTTGGGTTGCAGCAGGTAGAGTGCGAGCTCCAGCACGTGCTCACATTCACGCTTTATTTAACCAGGGTTCTTAGCATTTTCCTTTTTGTTAGGTATTTCTTGTTTTCGCTGGAAGTGAAGCTGCACTGTCTGCATTGGCAGTTCCCTGGGGTCATATTCTATTAGGGCTGGTATCGTAACGGGAGAGATTCACAGGTTTTGAAGGCACCTTAGAATGATGCTGAAGTGGTACTCGCTTGAGTCCTCCTGTCACGTACTGCAAAATGCAATTGGGTGAAGGTATCTGTTGTGAATAAAGGTTCATGGTTCTTTTCTTTCTTTTTTTAAACACAGACCCAAGGGAGTCCTGTAGGGACAGGAACAGATTTGCCACCCTGAAAGACCTGCACAGTCGTTCGTTAACTTCCCTGCAGGAGCTGAAAATCCCCAATCCGAGGCTGGAGCCTGAACGCTAGAAGCAAAGGTGGGATCAGAAACGGGCACAGGGTTTCGACACGTTGGCAAACTGAAACAACCTAATGCCGGCTGCATGCGTGAGCTTTCTCGTTACGCTTTCATGTCTGGTGTAACTCCTACCGCAGATTAGAGCAGTAAAATGAAAAAAATCTTCTGGATATTGAGACTATGTTATTTGCATATTTATCATTACCAGCACCCTGACAAGCGGTGTGTCTGTGATCTGTCACAACTGCTGAGAAGACATTTCTAATTTACCTTGCTACTTTGATTTGAAATGAGAAGTGGTTTTATGCTACAGTGTCATTTTTATTGTTACTGTTATTCCATCAGCTCCACCATCCCTTGGGATCATGCCTGCGGGTAACACGTGGGGCGTCTCAGCCAGGTCGGTCTCGGGCGGTGCGGTACCCTGCCCAGCGGGTCGTCACAGCCCAGACAAGCCCTCGCTCCCCGCTGAACGTCCACTAAAGGTGTGCTCAAACGGGAGCGAGCGAAAGCAAACGGCTGGAGACGGGAACGGGGAGAAGGCAGGCAGCAGACAAGTCATCTCAGTCTCTTGCTCCACAAACATCTGCAGGCAGTCAACTGTTTTTTTCAGATTAGGCACAATGAGTGAGGAGTTTAGAGGTAGTTACACATTTCATTCTTGCTCAATTTACATTGAGTTTAATTAGAATTGCAATCCTAATTATCTCTGAGGATCAGATCCTCAATGTCCTTGATCCTGCAGTGGAGGAGTATAGTTTCAGCAGAGCTTGTTGGGTGCACATGTCCAGTGTGTGCTATTATGAAGCAGAAGTATTTTGTCCATTTTTCAGTTAATACAGAAAACTGAAGGGAAGAGATACGGATACTTGCTTTGTAGATAGTCTGGACCATGATTTGCTAGTTCATCAAGGACGCGGCAGCAAGGTGCAACCAGGGATGCTAATGCTCTACTGGGGCACTGGAGTGCTGACGTACACAAGTATCATGGAGCCAGTATCACGCCATTTACTCATGTTTTTAGTATCATCATTCAGAAAACCTCACTATCTGCCATATTTCTATGACATGCCCGAGGTGGCAATGACCCGTTTCAGAAAAAACACGTTTGAAACGCCTAAAAGAAAATCATCAGATAGGAAACTCCCATGTCGGAGGTTGTGTTTAGAGCAGCAATTTCTAGGGCTGCCCTGATCCAAGCTGAACTGCTGTGTATGTAATAATTATTTTTAACATGACTGAAAGAAGCAAAGTTAACTAAAAAAAACCCCCAAAACTAATCACCAGGGTTCCGTTAAACAAGCAAAATATTTGAAATCACTATCCAATTATTGGTCAAGGCATTCTCACAGAGCTACATCAGGTTTCTACGGTCAAATGTTGGCCTTCTGCCTTTGCAACACCGAGTTCTGTAATAGGTGCCCCGTACAAACTTCACAGTTACCAATTTTTTAAAATGGCTTTAAAGCGCACAGGCTTCTCCAAAGCCATGGAACCAGTGGGCAAGTAGTCGAAAAGAAATGCAAGAAGAAAGAAGAATCACGCAGGAAACACGCTCAGTGGAGTTGTGGTATTACAAACTCAGCAAATACTAAAAGGAAGTCATGAGAGAATTGCGATGGGCCCTGGCATTTTCGAAAGCTGTCACCAAAGGCGCCGGGCGCACGCGGCAGAAGCCTGCTCCTGCTGCAGAGCAGCTATCGTCCGCTGCCGTCTTAAAGCGTTTTCTCTACTCGGGTTTAAAGCTCTGCAGCTCAGCGTGCTTTGCTTTACGAGGGGAAAGTAATCCTCAGCAGCAACGAGCAGAGCCAGAGGCCAAGCTGGCGGCTCTGGGGCACGCGGGACGCCTTGCAGGTGCTATTTATAGCCGCGGAGGACACTGTGAGGGCGGCCAGCGTCTGCGGGAGCTCCGCACGCAGGGGCCACCGTGGGAGTCGGCGAAGGTAAAGAGAGACGCTGAGCTGTAGGACTGAAGGATGCTACAGCTGAGGGGATTTGCTGCAAAACCAGTTTCTGTTCTCTCTGCAGACTCCTCGCACCCCACGGCCGGGGGGGGTCTGGGGGGTGGGGAGGAGGAGGAGGAGGAGGTT